GCGTGTGCGTGTGCGTGTGCGTGTGCGTGTGCGTGTGCGTGTGCGTGTGCGTGTGCGTGTGCGTGTGCGTGTGCGTGTGCGTGTGCGTGTGCGTGTGGGTGTGTGTGTGTGTGCGTCTGTGTGTGCGCGTGCGCGTGCGCGTGCCGCGTGCGTGCGTGCGTGCGCGCGGGCGTGCGGGCGTGCGTGCGGGCGTGCGTGGGCGGGTGGGTGGGTGGGTGGGTGGGTGGGTGCATGGGTAGTGTGTGTGTGTGCGTGTGTGTGAGTGTGCCATGCATGTGATGTGTGCTGTGTGTGTGTGTGCCTGCTGTGTGCGGTGTGTGTGTGTGTGCGTGTTCCTGGTGGTGTGCGTGTGCAAGCGAGTGCGCGTGTGCGCGCATGTGTGTGTGTGTGCGCACGTGCGCACGCGCGCGCACCTGCGCCTGCGGTGCGAGCGCGTGAGCGTACCTGTGCTTGTTCGTGCGCGTGTGCGTGTCCCTGCGCGTGCGCGTGTGGGTGCCTGTACGTGTGCGTGCGAGCGCGCGTGCATACAAGTGCGCGTGGGCGCTTGCGTGTGCGTGTCCGTGTGCTTGCGCTTGCTCTTGCTCTTGCACTGCGTTTTCGCTTGTGCCTGCACTTGTGCTTGCGCTTGCGCTTGTGCTTGTGCTTGTGATTGCGCTTGCGCCATGGAGCTTGTGCCTGCGCTTGTTTTCGCGCTTGCGCTTGCACTTGCTCTTGTGCCTCTGTGTGCGCGCTTGTGTGGAAAGGTGGTGTGTGTGGGTGTTGTGTGTTTGCGCAGTGTGCGCGCGCGTGCGCGTGCGCGCGCGTGTGCAAGTGAGAGTGAGGACAGTGTGAGACTGAGCGTGTGTGGGAGGGTGTGAATGTGTCGATGTGAGTGTGTGAGTCTGTGTATGTGTGAGTGTCCGAGTGTGTGTGTGTGTGGGTATGTGAGAGTGTGCGAGTGTGCGAGAAGTGCGCAAATGTGTGAGAGTGTGCGAGAGAGTGTGTGTGTGTGTGCGTTTGTGAGTGTGTGCGTGTGTGAGGTTGTGAGTGTGTGCGTTTGTGAGTGTGTGCGTGTGTGAGGTTGTGAGTGTGTGTGTGTGGGTGGATGTGTGGGTGTGTGACTGTGTGTGTGTGTGCGTATGTAAGAGTGTGTGTGTGTGTATGTGCTTGTGTGTGTGTATGTTTGTGTGTGTGGGCGTGTGCATGTGCGTGTGCGTGTGGGTGCGCGCGCGCGTGAGTGTGTGTGTGGGTACGGGTGTGGGTGAGGGTGGGTGTGTATGTGTGGGGTGTGCGAGTGTGTGTGTGTGTCTTCTTGTGTGGGTGTGTCTCTTTGTGTGGGTGTGTGTTTGTTTGCTTCTGTTGTTGGATTGCATTCTTGTTCGTTCGCTCGTTTGTGCGTTTGCTGGTTTGTTTGGTTGATTGCTTGCTTGCTTGCTTGCTTGCTTGGATTGTTTGTTTGTTTGTGCGCTTGCTTGTTTGCTTTGTTGTTTGTTCGCTTGTTTGTTTGTTGTTTGTGCGTGCATGTCCTGGTTTGTTTGCCTCTGTGTGTGTGTGTGCTGCGTGTGTGTGTGTGTGGTGCGCGTTGTGTGACACTGTGTGTGTGTGGTGTGGTGTGTGCGTGTGCGCTTGTGCCCCCAACCTTATGATATGCAAGGCGTGCTCTGGCAGTTGCTTCCATTGCAAACACAAGTCAGCTGCGCCGAACCCCATATGGGCTAGAACATCTTTCACTGTAGCTCCTGTGCAAGTTCGCAGTTCTTGATTGATATCTTGAATGAACTCAACCTCCACCACTTGGAGACTCGTTCCATTTGCAAATGTTCTCTACCAGCCGCTCCAGCCACTCCGCCCACTCCAGCCAAAAACTAGAGGACGCCCTTCCCCAGGCGCTCATCCAGTACATTGCTGCGGCGAGCGTGTCTGCACGCGGCGATGCTCAATGTGTATGGTCACATGAGAGCTCCATCTCATCGTCCTACAAGAGGAAGCATGGCAGTGCTCGATCCCACATATTTGCATCCGTTAAAACAGGAAGAGGAAAGCTGAAACGAATTACAAGCAAAAGGAAAAGCAATCAATAGCAAAGCTTACACGACGGCTACAGTTTCTGCAAAGCACGCTCGCGCAACTTAGCTCTGTGCAAGATGGCTCTGCGCAGCTTGGCTCTGTGAAAGTTGGGTCTACGCAATCTACTTTTTCGCAAGTGGCTCTGCGCAACTGGCTCTGTGCAAGTTGGCTCTGCACGAGTCTGCTCGGCGCAATGTGCTTTGCACGAACTGCGCCGCGCGATTTCTCACGAAAGTGGTCTGTGCAAGCTGCTGCACGCAAGTGCTCTGTGCAAGTTGCTCTGCGCAAGTGCTCTGAGCAAGTTGCTCTGCGCAAGTGCTCTGCGCCAGTTGCTCCGTGCAAGCGCTTTGCGCATGTGCTCTGTGCAAGTTGGTCTGTGCAAGTTGCTCTGCGCAAGTGCTTTGCGCATGTGCTGTGTGCAAGTTGCTCTGCGCAAGTGACTCTGCGCAAGTTGCGCTGCGCAAGTGCTGCCGGAGCTGTGGGAATGTACTTCGCGTACTATTTTTGTACTTAAAAGTTGCGATTTTCCAGCCGGAGCTGCGGGAGTGTGCTCCACGTGCTACGGCTGGGGGTGGGGATGTTGCCGGCGATCGGGAATGCGACCCTCTGCGAAAAATCGGCGTGGTCGAGGTGCAAAAGCTCGAGTTGTTTTTGCGTTTTTGTCGGTGCGCGCGTCGGCGTGGTCGAGGTGCAAAAACTCGAGGTTTTTTGCGTTTTTGCGGTGCCCGGATGAACCCTCTGCGGGGATCGGCGTGGTCGAGGTGCAAAAACTCAAGGTTTTCCACGTTTTTTTGCGGTGCCTCGGCGAACCCTCTGCGGAGATCGTGCGTGTCGAAGCGCTCTCGCTGTGGCGCCGTGCGATTTTGTTGCTCGCGAAATGGCCTTTGGAAGTTGTCTCGTGGTTTGCGCGCTTGCTTTCGCAATCCCGCGGTCGCGGGTTCGATTCCCCCCTGGTCCGCGGCAGCTCCGGCTTGAAAATCGCAGCTTTTAAGTACAAACGTAGTACGTGGAGCGTGCTCCTGCAGCTCCGGCTGGAAAATCGCAACTTTTAAGTACAGACGTAGTATGCGGAGCGTGCTCCCGCAGCTCCGGCTGGAAAATCGCAACTTTCCAAGAAAGAGATTCTTAATACTGAGCTCTTTCTCTTTCTTCCCGCGCGTTAAGTACTTAACCTAACTTACACCTAGCTTACACAGCTGCTAACGCCGAGCCTCTACACCTAGCTTAGCTTAGCTCTACGCACCTAGCTCTATGCACTTGGCTCTATGCACCTGGATCGATGCACTTTTGGCTCTGCGCAAGTAACTCTACGCTGGTGACTCCATGCTGGTGACTCTGTGCAAGTATCTCCATGCTCGTGAGTCTGTGCAAGTATCTCCATGCTGGTATCTCCATGCTGGTGACTCTGTGCAAGTATCTCCACGCTGGTAACTCGGCACTCTGTGCTAGTAACTCTGCGCGGGTATCTCCATGCTGGTATCTCCATGCTGGTGCAAGCTACTCTGCGCAAGTTGACCAAGAGCTCCTGGTATCTCCACGCTGGTGACTCTGTGCAAGCTACTCTGCGCAAGTTGAACAAGAGCTCCGCACGGAAGAACCCTTCGCAATGCTTTCGGGAAAAGAAAAACTAGAGGACGATTGGACCGAAAGCATTTTTCCCCAGGTGCTCATCCAGCCGCGCAGACGCCTTTTTACATCGCTGCGGCGAGCGTGTCTGCGCGCGGCGATGCTCAATGTGTATGGTCACATGAGAGCTCCATCTCATCGTCCTACGAGAGGAAACATGGCAGTGCTTGATCCCACATATTTACATCCGTTAAAACAGGAAGAGTAAAGCTCGTAAAGCTCGAAACGAATTACAAGCAAAAGGAAAAGCAATCAATAGCAAAGCTTACACGACGGCCACGGTTTCTGCAAAGCACGCTCGCGCAACTTAGCTCTGTGCAAGATGGCTCTGCGCAGCTTGGCTCTGTGAAAGTTGGGTCTACGCAAGCTACTTTTCGCGAGTGGCTCTGCGCAACTGGCTCTGTGCAAGTTGGCTCTGCACGAGTCTGCTCGGCGCAATGTGCTTTGCACGAACTGCGCCGCGTGATTTCTCACGAAAGTGGTCTGCGCAAGCTGCATTGTTCCAGGCTGCGCGCAAGTTGCTCTCTGCAAGCTGCTGCACGCAAGTGCTCTGTGAAAGTTGCTCTGCGCAAGTGCTCTAAGCAAGTTTCTCTGCGCAAGTGCTCTGCGCCAGTTGCTCCGTGCAAGCGCTTTGCGCATGTGCTCTGTGCAAGTTGGTCTGTGCAAGTTGCTCTGCGCGGTCTGCGCAAGCTGCATTGTTCCAGGCTGCTGCGCGCAAGTTGCTCTCTGCAAG